GAAATGAGGCCACATACGTTCAAAGTATGAAATCAAACTCCCACTTCAAAGAACGATCAAAGCCAAATCCATGTACTGTTGACTGGAGAGAAGAAAGAAGGCGATGTGTGAATGAGTGAGAGAGCGTCATCAAACTACAAGCTCTAATTACGTTTCATGACTAAAGTAGTAGAATGCTACTCTAACCTAGTCATTCATTTTTGAGCTAATTGGAAAATTTTTACTGTGCGCCCTAATGATAACTTATACACGTGATCTTACGTAGGCTTCTGTAGTTGCCAAAGCTCTTTGATGACACCTCCGATGTTTTTGAAATTAATTTGATTATGCAACTTTCTATTTCATTTTCTTTTTTCTTTTTTCTGTTCATATTAAATTGTTATAGGTAGTGTTGTTGTCATGATTGAGGAGAAGTGTGACATCAACTGTTTTTCCGGAGCAAGGAGGTCACGGTTTGTAGAAGCTATTAGGAATTTCAGTGAAATATAATTTGCATTCTGTCTTCCAGCTACCAGCCGTCAGAAGCTAAGAGTCGTGATTGAGAAAAAGTAAAAATAGAAAATATGATATATATTTTAGAAAATCAATTAAAAGCAATGTCTGTCAAAGAGATCAATACATAATTGGTTAACTGCGTCATGAACAGCTCCTTTTCCACAATTCATTTCTACCGACGATGATAATGCATCGAAAAGTCTTTTCCTACAAAGTAACCTCACATTGAACATCTTCAATCATTTTCATTACCTAATTTGCCCTGTATTAGCTTCTGTCAGCGGTTTACTATCTTCAACTAACAGACATCTGAAAGCAGACAGTTCGCATAAAGGAAACTGTGATGGTTGAAGTCGAATGAGATGAAGCCATTCATCTCGTAGGATAGTTGCCAATGGCTCTTCGAGAGCACCTGCAATCATGAATTTTCAATGTTGATAGATCAAATGGAACAAACCAGCCGAGTAAAAATAACAAAAATCCGATAGGAGCTGTGACCTTTCCCTCAACGTGTAGTTTGTAGTGTTCTGAAAACAACTTGACTTGCTCATCATATCCTCTTGTACAAAGAGTAATTGAAATCATACTTACATGACTAACGCGATCGAGGATTTCTTTCCATGTGGTTGAATCATAGTTCACTCGGTAGAAATGTCCAAAGCCTTCAAATTATTTTTTCATCATTGAGGTTCTGCCTTCTTACCTAAGTTAGCCAGAGCAAGTCCATCCCGGACTGGAGCCAAATGGATCCCCTGGCTGAGCATGAGATAAACAGGAAGTTTAAACTCGGTAAACTCCAATGTTAAAGGCCATAACGTCATCTTCTCATATTGCCCCAAGCCTGATGATGAAACGATAGAAGACAAAGTCTCCCTCAAACAAAACCTCTCTCTACTGTGCTGTTGTCAAGGAGTTGACGAATTTTGATAGAGTTATTGAATCGATCAACCTGTATGTTTGGTAACCCACCGTGATCTCTCCAGAAGTTCATAAGCTAAAACGAATTGAATTTTCATGATGATTTCATTACTACTCACCAAAGCAGATCCAATCCCATCGTCAATAGTTCGGTTCAAAAAACCTTCTAACACATTCATATCAATCAATGTTCTGGGTGAATGATAGATCTAAAGAAATAATGAAACTCTGATTTATCTGTGCCTAACCATCAGATTCAAAGATTTCATGAGCTTTGCTTCTCCGACAATAAATTCTAAAGACTCAAGCATCGTTACTCCTTTGAGACTGCATCTCGCTTGAATCTAAAATATGGAAAAAGCTTAAGAAAAACTATAAATGGAAAAAGACTTTGTAATCATCCACAGGCTCTGACAGATGCAGAGAAAATCCTGGCTCGAAGAGACCTTCCGTTAAGCTGACCTGAACTTTACTTTCTAATTGTGTTGGAGAGAGCTCAAGCAAACCTTTGCGTAGTGAGCAAGCCTAATATGATCATCGTTCGTTAGTCTTTTGACAACCTTATAAGCGATGTAAGAGAGTAAGTCCTCCTGAAAAACAGTTGATTACATGCTTCTTTGTATACGAACTGACTTGTAAACACAAATTTCTCTCTGATCCTATAGATATCAATCCACCTATCCAATGTCTGGCAACAGCCATTGTCAAGTGATAAATTTGATTTTCATAATCAAATGAGAAGAATTGCCCTGCAATAAGAACATTGAAGTCATTCTTAAATATTGTGAAAGACTAGTCAGCTTAGTTTTCACTCTGACTTAGTTAGTTGAGTTGATCATAGAACATGAAAGACAAACCTTCTGGAAGGATAATAGTCCCAAAAGAGTTGGATGGTGGCACATCATTTATGACGACAACATCCAATTTGGGCATGGCCATTATAGAAGAGAACAGTTGTCTGAAACGTAAGCTGATGACTAAGTGATTTTCTGATATCATACTTCAAGTTTGTAATAATCTGCGTGAGAGTTCCCAATAACTGCTTTGCTTGACCGTATTGAACTCTGTGCTCATTATAATGAACTGTCAAGTTTATTCCCGTATATGTATTGTGCAACTGTAAAGCAAAGAATAAGAAATGCAGATGAATCACTTGACTAACTATATGATACTCTTGAGGTATCAGAGCTAAGGCCAGAAGGGAAGGTACTATTGGTGAGGAAGTTCTGAAGGATGAAACCTGAACATCACATGTAACTGAGTATATATTGTTTCATAATAGGTCTACCTGCCAATGATCATCAATCAACTGTAAAGATTCAATAGGAGCCGAGCTTACAGCTAACGTATCAGCAGGATGAATCACTGATATAGAGAAAGTTACCTGAAATGCAATGTTGAAATTAATGTATTGTGCATGACCGCCAAACGAGAAGCAGTACACTAGAATGAAAATGTAGCTGAGGCGTAGATTAAGCTAGCGCACATGAAGCTAAATTTCATTCTTGACTTCGGTTCAGTAGTTAGCGGTCGTGCATGATGAACCAAGTCAATAAGGTCAATGAAAACTGTTTCAAAAAGAAAGAAGGAAACAAACCTTTTGAGTTCTCGGATGAATTGTAGGAAATGCAGCAGCAGCTCTCGAGAAAGATGATCCAAACACAGCATGCTCACCGGCATCTCTGTGATGAAGAGTATTCAACTTGAACGATAATCAAATCAGTACCTATAGTAAAGAGCAGTGCCTATAAAACCTTTGTATCTGCCAACACTTAAAGTGTACCGTCCGACAAATAACACAGGCTGTGCTACCGTAATCTGAGAGAAAAGTAAACAAAAAGATCTTCAAAAGGAAAAAAATCACCTGCATTTCCGTTTCGGTTAATTGAACATTGCTTATTATAACTTCTGATCCATTATGAACAAGAGAAACATTTTCAAAATGATCAAGTCGATCAATCAAGAACTGAAAATCAAACAGTCACAATGCTTCTCATGAGCTTTCACGAGTCTAAAGAAAGAAGTTGAGTAGACCTACAGCGATTTGAGCTCCTTTTCCTTGATCTTCTCGTACTATTGGATTCAACAATCCAATTTCACTTGTTAAATCAAAATGAAGCACAACATGACCGGTGAACAATGGTATAGATGGTTCATTAACCTTAAGATGAAGCACGAATTGAGAAAAGAAAAAAAAATAGAAATGAATACCTCAGACAAAGGTAACTGTAACTGTAAATCATAGGATATAGGAACAATGGTTGGATCAAGATCAACCGCTCTTTTCATGGGAGTTGAAAAATATTTTTTTAAATCAGCTCTGACCGATGTACATAATGTCAAAGTTATAAAGAGCAGAATGACTCTCCTCATCTATAAACTGAAAGCAGGCACAATTGAAATGAATGATCTAATGTGAGTGAGAAAAAAAAAGTGAGGGAAGTGGGGGGGGGGGGGAATTAAATAAGAAGGTAAGTGATTGTCGGAGACTAAAATTGAGCCGAAGAGGTCAGAAGAAGAGACGTGAAATGCGGTCAAAAGCCGGATTTATTCTCAATATTTGCACGATTGTTGGATTATCGGGCCATAAGAAGAAACGATCGTATCGATAAAGCTTCTACTAGAAGAAATCAAAGATGCTTTTAATAATGAAATATCAGAAATCTTTATTCATTATATTCTGAAGTAGTTGTTAGATGTAACACATTCAATAACTGTGAGGATTAAGAACATCATACCATTATAGAAAGAGCCAAAAAAGGAAAAGAACAAGGGTCAGATGGTTATAGACGGCTGTTTGCGTTCAAAAGGCAAAAGCCATTAACATAGCTCAATAAGGTCATTGAGATATGAGGTATATCAATAAACTTTCAATAATTTCTGTACAGATCTACAAGATGTATACACTAGAAGAACCCTTGCACATATCTTCTTCCTACTCCTCTACCACTTCTTTGATAGCTGCTGCTGTCGCCGCTCATCCATTGCCTCCTTCTTCAGATTCCTTCTATCCTACTATGTAATGTATCTTTTAAAAAAATTAATTTATAATAATCATGACGTCACTAACCTTTATTAAATAAATAAAATTATTAAAAAAATAAATAAATACAATAAATAAACCAAAATCTCTACGACACTACGTACAAATGACAACAAGGAGGGAAGGAAGAGAGAGAGGAAGGGGGGGGGAGAGAGCATTGATTGTCATCATTTGTACTTTATAGCTTCTGTTTCCTTGTGATATTTACAAAAAAAGAAATCTACATCTATGATGCACTTAGAATGCAAATCATCATTTGTTAACTACAAAATCTTATTTTGTTTCTACGGAAGAACGAAGGAAGGGAAAGAGGAGGAGTGCATGCAGAAGGAGAGCGAGAGTGTGTGAAGGAAGTTAGTAGAAGGCATATACGAGCAATAGCCATATAAGGCTCACATTTTGATTTTTTCTATCTTTTTTGTTGTTTGTTTCAAATTCAAAAAATCTTTGAAGAGAGAGAGAGAAAGAAAGAGAGAGAGAGAGAGAGAGGAGAGAAAAGTGAGAAGAAAAGTGAAATCGTACATACTTTCACTGTCAAATACAATGCTTCATCTAGAAAATGTATGTTTAAGATGGTTTTGTGTATATCTTCAGCTTCTTGTTGTGTTCTTCTTCTTACATACTACTTCAAATCAACTATATGGAATGGAAAGAGAGCGTTCAAGAAAGGAACATGAAAATCAGCAGTTGCATTGCTGAGTGGCCGGCTTTTGCTGAGGATTTGCTTCCAAACGCTGACCTTTCGGTTGTTGTTGGTCCTTCAAAAAGCATTTATCTCCTATTATATGAGATTGTCTTACCTTATCCAGACTTTCAGCCATTTTGTCACAAATTATTTCAACAAGCTTCTCGAAAACAGCCTTCACATTTATATTTTCCTTGGCTGATGTCTCAAAGAACTCGAGTCCTGCAACGAATACATAGCCATGACGTATGATACTATTTTAAATTATAATCGATTACCTAATTGATCAGCTAATTGACGTCCTCTCTCAAGAGAGACAACTCTTTCACCATCCATATCACATTTGTTACCAACTAGTACAACTTGAGCATTTTCCCAGCTGTATGTCTTGATTTGGGTACACCTAAGATCACATTCATGGTCATTATGTGACATGCTTGAATCAAACAAACCAATCTTGGACAGCGTTGAAAGATTCTTCATTGGTAATATCATACATCAAAATGAATCCCATAGCTCCGCGGTAATAGGCAGTTGTAATTGTTCGATAACGCTCTTGTCCAGCGGTATCCTTTAACATCATACTATATACTATATCCATCTCCATTACCGTCTTACCCATATTTGTAGCTTAACACGCTTGTCACCACGGAAAACGGTTTTTACTTTAAAGTCAATTCCTACTGTAGAAACAAAGGCTGAGGTGAAGGAATCATCGCAATAACGGAAAAGGAATGAAGTTTTTCCAACAGACGAATTGCCGATGATGAGCAACTGCAACATTTCATTTTCATTGTATCTCGGAAGTTCCCCTTCAAGAGGAAACGACTAGCTAGAATCCGAAATAGCTCAATTTTTTTTTTTTGGTAAAAGAGAAGAAACTCCTTTTCCTTGCCTCCTCCGCTTCCATCTGAAGCTTCGATTCTAATTCTCTTCTTATCTTCTTCTTTCTTTCTTCATCTCCCTCTCTCTCTCTATCTTTCTTCTCTCGCTCAGCCTTCTCTCTCTCATTAATCCAGGGTTGTCAGATTTCTAATTGCTTGCGTCCGATAGGAGTTGCTAGACAATTAGCCAATTTTTCGTCGAAGAAATTCTGAGAAAAGCCAATCGAAACGGAGCAAACCTCTATTTCTTCTAATAAAATCCAAATAAGGTATAAACTCCTTTCTCTCTCTCTCTGTCTTCTTCTTCTTCATCTCTCTTCACAGATGGTTCTCCCTCTCTGTTATAAGCTGCATCTTCATTTACTATACAATTATGTAAGAAAATGCATTCCCAAAATATAATATTCTCGTGATCTTCTCACATTCATCAGAAAAAAGAAAGTCAAATTACATCCAAACTTTCAGATGAAGTTTTTGAGAAAAAAAATATTAGAGAGAGAGAGTCGACTCTTTATGTTTCCTCTTCCTATTTGGTAAAGCTTCTTCTCTCAAACCAGTTTTGTGTGCTGGGTGGTTAAAGAAAAAACGAATTAGAATAGGAGAAAGACCACATTGGGAAAGGGAGGAGAGCTGGAGATGTAGAAGAAGAGAGAGAGAGAGAGAGGAAGAGAGGGAGTGAAGCAGGAAAAGCCGAGAAAGACAACGAAATCATCGTAAAAAAAATGGAAGCGATGGGAGGGCCTTCATAGCACTTTTCTGTGGTCTGAAGATAAAAGCTTGAAAGAAATGACACAGAGAATACACAATATGGAAAGATGAGAAGCTCAGTTGGCGATCCCATTCCTGCTTTTCTCTCTCTCTTTTCAGCCATCTGCCAACAGTGTTTCTTTATATGGAAGCAGCACATACATACAGCTAACAACTGCGAAAGGCTTCATCTTTTCACGCTCAAAACCCCGTTGACTTATTTGGGGTTGAAGAAAACGAGCAAAGAGGCAGCTAAAAAGCACATAGATGCCTAACGATCGAAATGCCATTTTTGGGTTATACTAGCTTTCCATCTCCCTCCCTCTCTCTCTTTCTCTCTCTCTCAATCCAGCTTTCCCTCCATTCAACTCTTTTGCCTTTCAAAGACATATTTCTCCTCCAATGAGATTTCCATCAGAAAATCTATTTTTTTACGGAAAAAAATTCAAAATTCACAGAATTCATAATAAACTTTACTGATTTGCCTGATAATCACTCTAATATTTCCTTTTTCGGTGAAAAACTGGGACAACAACGTTGGACACGAAAAACAAAAATTTTCTTTTTCGTATTACTCCTGGTCATCGTTTCCTTCCTTAGACACACACACACACACATGCACATGAAGAAACTATCGGACATTTCCATCAAACTACATCTCTCTCTCCCTCTCTCTTTCAGTTTTACTCACAGCCGGCGTTTCGAAATAAAAAAATGAATCTGAGAGGGAGGGAGATAGAAAGAGGGAGAAGGAGAGAGTTGAATAGAAGGCTATTATCAGGTTATTCATGGAAAATCTTTGACGTGCACAATGTTCTTTGAGTCTTTTCCATCTTATTTAAACCGAATAAGGCTAACTTTCAAACCTTCGACTGACGTCTTCTTCAAAAAAAAATTTCTTCTTCTCTCTCTCTCAATCTCTCCGTCTCTCTTAACTTCCCTTCAGGATCTCTCTATTTCCATGTTCCTTACACACGTCATTCACACACACACACACCGAGACCAATAGACAGAGTTCCAACGATTAGAAATTTATTTAATAATATTTAAAATATAAGTGAATTACCTTTCTGATCAGAGAGAAAGATTTGAGCGAGCTTATCCTTTAGCGGATATTTGTTTTTCAAATATCATTTTATGGATAAGGACTAAGTAGGAGGGAATTTAGGCTACAAATACATCTCCTTTCCCTCTCTCTCTCTATCATTCCCTCTCTTCCCCCCCCTCTCTCTCTCTACTGCCTAATGCACATCATCATATTTGGTATAATAAAAAGCTTTTTTTTAACTAGTAAGAGCAGGACGTGTGGAAGAAGAAAGGGAAACTAATAAGTGCTTCAGACAACTTGATCGCCTCCATTCAAGGTGAGCCAATTCTCTCTATTTCTTTCTCTCTCTATATTTCTCTTCTAAAAAAAGGCAAAACGACAGTGTTTGATGGATTGCAATGAGGACTGAGAAGACACAAATACATTATGTTGGAATCGCCAAAACAATACGCAAAAAAAGTTCACAAATTGGTTGGCAAAAAGGGGAAAGAGAGAGAGAGAGAGAGAGAGGTTGAGAGGTAGAGAGAGAGAGAGAGAGAAAGAAGGAAATTCGTTGAATGTTTTCGTTGGTGGATGGGATGATGAGTGGAAAAAAACGTTTTTTTGTGAGCTTTACCTTGCTTCTACCAGTCTCAACTTATCTTTTCCTCTCTGCTTCAATAGAATTGGTTGTGTGTGTGTGTGTGTGTGTGTGAAAGATTATTAATTAGTATTCATGTGAAAGCAAATATTCACACTTCGTTGACTCTCCTCTCTGTTACACCATCCCTTGTTTCTCTCTCTTTGTCTCTCTCTTAGTATTTCCCTCTTTCCCTACTTCCCTCTCTCTCTACCTCTCTCTTACTCTATCTATCTACCTACACTCCTTATTCATATAATTTAGTTTGTAAAATATTTTAATTTTTCACCTTAAACATATAATCAAAGTTTTGATCAGCCTGAGGTTGTTGAGCGCTTCCAGCAGCTGCCATCTGAAAGTCAATACAATTTCTTCGCCATCTAATCAGTAAACGATGAAAAATTGATAAGAAACTTGAGAAATAAAAAAGAAATTGTTTTTGGAGTCTCTCCATGACCTAGAGGGTCTATTACTAGGCGCGAGGCTTACATACTTAGATTTTAGATTTTATGTGAGAAGTGGCAACAAAAAATGGAAAGCAGAATATGATCTTTCGAGTGCTCATCTGATACTCGGCGCCTCGAGTAAAAGAGAAACATGGACGTTGTCCAGGGAAACCAGTTATGGGAAGCATCGTTGTCTGACAAATTTATTGAGGAGAAAAAAATGAGGATGAAAAACATAAATCGATTGTGAAGGTAAATACTCAGAAGTAGTTAAGATACGACAGTTTCAGAAACGTTGTCTTTCCGAAGAAACCTTTAGAGCGATTGCTTCAGAATCTGAAATGGCCAAGGAGGAAAAGTAAGAGTTAGAGAGGGAGGAGAAAGGGGTAGAGGGGGGAAGACGAACATTTCAAAGTAAAGGAGCGAAGACAAGACGAGAAGAGGAGGTATGAAGTACATAACGAGGAATAGAAGTTAGAGATTGAATAGCTGAAGATACTAGACGGAACCAGGATGGAATGAAATAGAAAGAGACAGAAACAGAGGGCAAGAGAGAGAGAGAGAATGAGAAAATCTGAGATGAAAGAGAGGAATTCAAGAACGAGCAATTGGAAAGAAAAATAGGTAGGAAGAAACTGTGGGTGAGGCAGAGAAGAGAGAACATGGAATGAACAAGACTTTAGTGGGAGGGATAGACCCTTCCAAGTCTCTGTATGCTTTCCATTTGGAAGCATTGCTCATGTATGGCAGTGAATCGATAAGCTTCCTCGTACTCGCCTCGTTTAGGCCCCACTGCTCCTCCCACCAGAGCCTCTTGGCCTGGCAAAGCTTCAATAGCTGCAGGATCCGAAAATGAAAATGCTGTCCCCTTTCTCTCCGTCTTTCTCTGTTTCTTTGTCTACTCAATCCATCTTACTTGTATGGCTTTATAGAGGGAAAGAGAGAGAGATGCAGAGAGAGAAAAAGAGGGAGAGAAACACAGGAAAAGAGAAAGGGGTGAAAAGCAAGATCTCATGAATGAGTATGCTATTTCTTTTTCTAACCCTCGTTTTCTCTGATGGCATTACATTCTTTAAGCTTCTTTCTATATCATCTTTTGCCAACTTATTGCGTTACGCTTGATTCACATGGACCACCCAGACTTGAACAAAATCAAATTTTGCCTTAAAAGGAGAATGGAAATAAAAGAAAACAAAAAATAATAAGCGGAAAGACGTTAAAAACTATCTGAGTTCATGTTGACAACAACAAAGAAGTCTACGTTAACACTACGATCATGATTGGAAAAAGGGAGGCAAAGAGGTTGGAGTTGGGAGGTTCGTGAAAGGGGAGGGAAACAGAAAGTGAATATGGAGGGATAAGGAGTAAATGGAAAACATGATGTGTCCGAACAAACTTCTCTCCTTGGCCACACTATACAGATACCTCTTGTGAGGAAATTTTTAGGAAAATTGAATATTTTCTGCAAGCAATTCTAAAACGAGATGGGCTATGTGTGTGTGTGTGTGTGTGTATGTGTGTGGCTTCTGCCGGCTGTTGAAAATCAATTGCGCAAGAAGATGTTGGAAATCGAGGATAAGCTCTAAAAAAAGGAGGCAGGAGAGTAAAGCTTCAAGGCTCGGCAAATCAGAAGAGAAAAAATAAGAAGGAGAATGTTCAAAAAATGACGTGAATGTAATATGGAATGGAATGGAGTTGTTTGGGCAGAGGGGAGAAGGTTGAAGGAATCGCATGAGATATGTTTGAAAGACAAGTTGAAAGGCATAACTGGCTCAATAATTGTAAAAGCTTAGACACTTATGTGAACCTATGGAATGCATATAAATTTAATGATTGCAAAAGAAGTTTTCAAATATAGAAACATGCATTTGAATGTGAAATGGTTTTCAAGAAAAAGACGAGAAGAAGAGGAAGGACATGTGCCAAATAAGAGAAATGTCTGAATGAACGAAGCTCTGCATTTACATCAAAGGATATGTATATATATAAGGAATCTTGAGGTTTCCAAGAGCCGTTAGCTCGTTTCATGTCTCTAGAGGGTAAGATGGAAGTGTTAAGGAAAGGCAAGAGAAACAACACAATTCTATTGGTAAGCTCATCTAGAGAGCAAAAAATGAAAAAGAGAGGAAACTAAGTAGAAAGAGAAAGAGAGAGAGAGAGGGGGGTAGAGAGAGAAAAAGTATAGATAGATTATAGAAACAAAGAGAGAGAGGGAAAAAAAAGGGGAAAAGTCATACGTTGGAATGAAAGCGTAATGACAGAAAATGAGAGAATAGGAAAATACTAATAGAATTTCTTAGTCGAGAACTAATCAACTAGAAATAAACAACTGAGAAATCACTGTAAATTCAAACAAACGGCTCAGTCCATCGGTGGAATGTATAATATCAACATAATCCTTACTAACTGCACAAATCAATAATATAACTGCTGATATAAAGATTACAATCCTTTTTTGGAATGCAGCCAGATATGAGTTAGTAGAAGGCGCCTTTTTTGTTTTAAATGAGTATGAGAGGCATAGATAGAGAGGAAGAGGATGAGAAAGAGGGAGTTAATTGAAATAACCCATAATTGCTTTCATATGCTACTTTCAAGTTATCATATATATATTGGTATATATATGGAATGAACGGAAATTTTGATGAAAGAGTGATTTGAAGAGGCAGAGGCTTGACAGAGGGGTGGGATTGGAGGAGGAAAGGGAAGGAGAATGGAGGTATGCATATGAAATCATAGCCATTTATATATCCAAAATGCTTATATTAAAAAGTTCTTTTGAAAAGTTAAATAATAAAATACAATTTGAATAAATTAAGTTATTTCGTTGAAAAAAAGGGAAATGAGGTGTAAATTGATATCTCTGAAATGCTAACCTTATAAGCGGAATCTGTTGCAGGCGAGAAATGAGATTCAGTCTGTTAAAGAAGGCGATCAAGGAATTGACGCTTGTTCATGGAGAGCTAAGAAGAATAGAAGAGAGAGAGAGAAAGAGAGCAAGAGAGAGAGAGAGAGAGGAACAGAAGAAAATAGATTTTTTTGTCGAATATTTATCTCACCGTTGTGCCGTTTTCTTTGCTTTTTTTACAATCACGACATTGGCATTTAGTTTCCGATTGGCTAAGCTTCTTCTTTTTGGAGAAAACTTTGAGGGACTTGGGTGTCGTTGACATAGAGAGATAGAGAGAGAGAGAGAGCGAGATGGAGACTGAAGACTTTCGATGATGATGATGAGATGGAAATTATGAAGAAAAAAGAAATAAAAACATATCTGATTCGTTACAAAAACCATTCCATGAATATGAACAGTCATGAAACGTGGGATATCATTTCGAATTTTAATATTTTCAAATACATATAAGCCTTTTTTATCATAAATACAAAAAGAAATACAATGGCTTAAACAGAAAAGCATTCCAATCATAACGCGGATGCAATTTTTCGAAAAAAAGGAAAAGTACATGCATATGGCCTGTTTCATGATCCTCATTTGTTTCTTTACCGCTTTTATTCCATTTTAAAATTAAAAAATAAACATTATATTCAACTCACATCGATGGTGAATAAACGACGAATATAAATACCATTAAGATGGTATTGAAAGCTTTCCAATTCCATTACAACTTGATTGTCCGAACTAGAGGTGGCACAGTTGCTATTTTTGAAATAATCATCATTCAAACAAACTACTTTAATCCTGCAAATATGATGACCTCGATTATGAGATATATGTAATCCCTGAAACATACACTGTGTGTCAACTTTTCTAATGGCCAGTCACCACATATTTTCATGATTCATGAGGACATTCACGTGAGCGTATTTTCACGTGAACAAATCTCACGTAAGTATCATTCCACGTGAGCGTCATATTACGTGAGCGAATTCCACGTGAACGTCATTCCACGTGAGCTTCATTTCACGTGAGCGTGTCCCACGTAAGCGTCATTTCACGTAAACAGCCTGGAAGTAGCGGTTGCATTCTTCATTCCGTGCTCGTACAGATCGGTTGCTTCAATTTTCGTCTTCTCACCGAACGGTTGCATTCATATCGTCTTCTCACCGAACGGTTGCATTCATAATCACCTTCGTACTGAACGGTTGCACTCATTCTCGTCTCCTCACCGAACGGTTGCATTCATATTCGTCTTCGAACTAAACGGTCGCATCAATAATCATCTTCGTTTTGAACGGTTACATCACAGAAACAATATCAGTTATTGATAGACAGTTCCAACAATATTTATTCGATATAATAATTAACAATAATAACAGTAGTAACTTATTAGTACATATAAAACTCATTTCATAATGGCCTTGCTTTTATAAATTGGCTCCATAACACTTCGAACTGTTGGTCCAGTTTCGTGTGATTCTTCATTTACAATCGAGTGAACGGTATAGTTGACGTTGGCTGAAATTCATAGAATGTAATAGAAAAATTCGTTATGCAACTAACGATCATTTCTCCAGAACCATATGCAGGACATGGGAGAATGTTTGCCGTCGTGTTTGCCATAGACACTATCCCAGAAAGAAGACCAGACTTGTTTAGTTTCGCTGAAAGGGGAGAATTCATAATAACTGATCTAAAATAAGACTTACAATTCATTATGAAAAGCTTTCGCTTTATTATCATTGGGATTATAAGCCCTGCAGTTAGCGAATATCTGTCTGGTTGTTGAGGACCAGAACAAATTCCATTCATCTAAAATATGGGCAGTATCAGAAACATATGTTCATGAGAATGGCAAATACATTTGATTATTCTGTTGAATCTCACTCCATAGCAGTTGAAGAACAGATCATTTTCTCTGAAGAAGAAGTCTCTTTTCGTCTTCGAGAATTCTACCATTTGCTCAACAACCTGAACGGAAAATGTATGTGAGCTATAGGCAGTATCTTACTATGAGCATTTGATGTGAAGGAGAGTACTCAGCACAAACAATTTCGATTGTGTTTTTGATATCTGGTTCGTATTTCTTTGTTGCTCTGTTGAACCGATCATTAACAACTTCTCTATTGACCTGAAGAATAAAGTATGAAGCGAGAAGTCAATGAAGGCACTTACGAGCTTAAGAGCTACACAGAACTTCTTGATGGAAGCCATACGATCTTCGTGCGATAAATTAGAAATGTTATCTCCGTTCAAAACGGCAGCATCAAGAATACGAATGACTCGCCGTTTGCTGCTAGTATCCATAATTCCCTGAATCACAATATTACCCACCAGGAAAACAATAAAGTCCTCACATTTATACATTCATAAGCATAAACATGCTCCACAAGCAGAATGGTTTTGTTAGGGATTCTATACATATCCTTATCCATCTTACTGCAAGCTCCGTTCTCATACATCCCAACACCTTCCTAAATCTTATTGTAAACATGGCTACAAGTTCTGAACGAACATCGCTGGACACCAAAAGACTTTTTCTGGTTTTGTTTTCTGCTATGAAAGTGAAGCAGAATTCTTCATGAACTACAGACTTCTCCCTGCTGTTGAACATTGCAGGATTGAAATCTGGTGTTTTGTCAGTCAAATCGTGCTTCTGATAAAGCCTCTGGAAAACAAGTAATTAAGATTGAGTTCCTAGCTTTGGAATACATTTCCATATTTGGCTATCATATCGTTGTTGGACATGGAATTGCTTTGGGAATTGTGGCTACGATCAAACTTCGGTCCAGGCTTAGGACGGTTAGGTACCTGCCAATATCTCAAACAATCATCTCGTAGGTTTCCCTGTAAAGTGAGTATATGGAAAGAATCTCAGAACATCAAATACTTGATCTTTATCGAATTGGTTAGGATTCTTGGCGTAACTCAAATACTTGTTGAGATAAACAGTTTGTCGCACAGCGAACCTGAAAAATGTGAGCTTGAGAAGAAATGTGAAATAACGTTACTTCTCATTATGCTCAACAAGGAATTTGGTGAATACTTCGTCATCTCGGATGATATTAAGAGGAACAAGCTCCATCACGTCGCTTTCCTTTGGCTCCCCCTTCAACCACAACTTCTCCATTGTACGATTAACTCTGCACGAAAACATTGAGAAACGTTTGTTGTTTGGATGAAAACCTTTTTAAGTAATCTCTGATTACATCAGAAAACTCTTTCCGTAGTCCTTTACAAACAATGTATCTGAAGCAAAAGGATTATGATGAAGAACAAAGATGAAGCGTCAAACCTTTCAGAATTTGCCGGACGACTTGTATGAGGTTTATGAATGGTAATTTGATCATAACAAACATACATAAGATAGATCAATCCCACACTGAAAAAAAAAGTTGAGGAGAAAATTGAAAACATTGAGAAATACCTGAATGGGGTGAAGAGATCAAACAGTTTACAGAAAAAGTTTCCACCTTCTTTAACTATGCACAGTGAGGTCAAAAGTTGACACAAGTAAATTCGTTTACTAAGGATTTCCTGAACACAAGAGTTAATATGAAGCTTACAGCTACAACTTACTTGAATGTTTTCCCTTCCCTCTACACTGAAACCTCCGTCAGCCATCATCAAGTTAACGCCGATACCGTTTGTTCCTGAATAACCATAACAGTTGAAAAACTGTGAGAATGTTCTTACCTTTCTCAACAACTTCCTGGAGAGCATCAATGTTGTCTGGCTTGGTCACATCACCGTTTTTAGTTTTACCATAATAAGGTTCGAAAAAGTGTGCAGAAGAAGCTGAGAATTTGAACAACTTGAAATCATCTTTGCCTGAACGTAACTCATTATCAGCTTACTCAGCATAGAACGTTACCTTTCAAGGTGAATCCGAAACCTTTGGCATTGTAGAAACCTTTCCTCCATAAAACGTACTCGGAGAAACCACCAGGACCTTGAAGAACAAATCTCAGATGGGTTTCAGAAACTATAACAACCTGCACAAACATCAGCAAAATAGAAAACATCTTTCTTGCGTGATGTGTTTTTTCCATCATGGAACTTTACAGGCTTGTTATCACCCTCAGGTCGAGGAAAATTCCAAGGATTCTTGTTCTTAACGGAAACAGTTTTTTTGGAAGCATAAGATATCTCACTTGTCGGGCTTGGTCATCAATTTCTTCTGTGAAGATCCAGTCAAACACTTTATCCATGTTAGCGACTTTCATAGCAGCCCTTAAATCCGGAAACGTTGAAGGAAGAGAAAACTGATAAACCTGTTCAAAAAGAAAACTCCTCCAATGGTTTCATATGGATTGGCTCTTTGCCTAGCTTCTCTCAATTCCCGGTCAGTAATGTTATCAAAAACCTGAAATGCTCATTTGAATATGAGCAAAGGTCAATATGACTCACTGTCTTAGCTTTCATAAGTTGTACAAGCACTTCAAGGTCACAAAACTCTGCTTCATCGTCGATTGTGTATTTCGGAGTCGCAACAACCGTCCATTCATCGTTTTCACAATTGGCAACTATTTCTCTTCTGCAGATCAAGTTTTGATTGAAGTAATGGGTCATTCGTCCAACCTTATTTCATCCCCGCATTTCGGGAACCAGTTGACGTGCTCTTCAACAGTTTTATCTTCTTGAGACTCATCCCAAATCTCAGACATGTCTCTTCCGACTACCTTCGTTGCTTCATGACCAAGACCAGTACGTCCTTTTTGTGTTGATAGTCCGACAGGTTCAACAATACCCTGACCGGCTTTACCCAAACCAGCACCAGGAGCATAACCATGCTTGGCCATAAGTTTGAAACCGATTCCTTTTGTATCAATGCTACTTGTGGATTCAAAATTATCAGAAGTCTTAACAAAACACATGTAACTACTAATTTAAGAGAGACTCACATCTTGAGCAAATACAGAGCTTGCAGGTTCATCGTCGGAACTTGAATCACTCAATGTTTCAGCCTTCCTTTTACGTGGCTTATTATCTTAATACCAATATTTATTTTATGTTTCTTCACAGTATATTCACCTCTGTACTCATCTATCTCATCTCTTAACGACTCTGCTGCATCATCTCTTCGTAATTCGCGGATTTTTTTATAATCCATTTCGTAAGTTGCTTATACAAAAGAAGTTGTTCGAGAATGACTACCGAGCTTCCTTCCTTCTCCGAATTCCAGAAATTTTTCTGTAATTTTCAAGAAATATTAATATGTAAATAAATAAAAGCCAAACTATGTTACACAACAATCACAAATGCTAACCATTCAAATTTCGCATTGGAGCACACTTCAGACATTCTAAACTATGTTGTTTATAAAGAAATGCTCAAGACGCTCAACCATCTCTTTAACATTTAATTATTCAAAAAAAACATGCTTTTTGAGAAATTAGTCTAAAGAGAGTGTTTACCTTGGAGCAAAAAGGGAAACTGAAGCCCTGTGGAAAGGGACCATGTTAGAAATCGGATTTCGAGGGTTACGAACGACAACATCCTAGTTGTTTGCGTTCCTAATTATATGAAACTCTATTAAACTAACTGAATAATACATTTATAATCTTATTTCTCACGTTCTAAGGTTATAACTCGATCAAACACTCAAACGTACCGTTGCCATGACGACACGTTCTAACCGAATCGAATCGTTGCCAAGGATGTGATCATTCGTAATAAATGTCCAGCAAGCATCCTTTACTATTATCTTTACAATTGTTTCTGTTATTTTTGGATCTAATCTTCAATGCGTTAGCTGTAGTTCTTTATTCCAAAAATACTTTGTTGTTGATGATATACTTGTAAGTTATCCTTCTTCCTGCGTTACGTAGCTTTCAATCCTTTTTTAGATTACAAGATACGGTTATTGTTATTTCACTTATAATACTGGCTATTCTAATATCTTCCACATTCTTATTTCAAGCAGGCTTAATCCCTTTCTTGGTCAAAGTAATGTTGCTCTTCATAATCCATTGATATAACATGAAAGCTACTTCAGAAGTTTGGAGTGTCACTGCTTGCAGCTTTAGTCTATTTGACATTATCAATATCCTATCACTATTTAAGCTTGGTGAGTTTGTCTTGCTAAATCCCTCCCTATTGACTTCCCTACAGAGTAGTCGATGGGAAAAGCCCGCCAAAAGTATTTGGAGCCCATGGATGTTGGGATTATATGTTGCTCATCGAATTGGTCAGTTAATCAATCAATAACCATATAATTCATTATAACATATATAATTTAGCTGCAGTCATGTATTACTATACGTATAAACGAACCTCATTACTACTATCTGATCCCAAATACTACGAAATATCAGATTGGCTGAAGAAAAAAATAAAAGAATCAACATAACTTTCATTTGCCCATTTCATTCTATCGAATTACATTTAAAAATAAAAAAAAAGATTAAACACTCAGTAGTATAATCAAAGCAACAATACAAATAAACAGACAAGAGGACATGAAATGCAACCGCTCTGTGTGAATGCTAAATGAAAAAATGAATTAGTGAACGCCACGAGTATTCACGGTAAATTAGAATAATTAGAGATATGCAAATGAGATGAAGTGATTGAGTAAGAGTATCAATGAGAGAGTGAAGGATAGATAGATAGACTGATCGCTGTCATCTTCAGTTGTGTTTCAATTAACTTATGAAGCGAAACAACACATTCCTCTCCATCTCTTTTCAACTATTGTTTCATTGTGTTTCTTCCAAAAACGTTGGAAAGATATTCCATTTTGCACATTCTTCTGTTTTAGTTTATAATTTATATAGTCTATAACATGAAAATCTGTGTATATTATAATGTGTGACGAGAAGGAGGGAGAGAGGGACAGAGAGAGAGAGAGAGAGAGAGAGATAGAGGGAGAGAGAGAATGTGGATGAAGCTCGTGTATGTAGTGAAGTTGTCAAAAATGAAATTTCATTTTTTTTCTTTTTATTTCTATTACAAAAATAGAAAGGATTCGAAAATTATATTGGCTGATGATGAACGACTAACAAATTTGATTCGTTTCTTTCAGTTCCACCCCATTCCAGTACATAGAGCTATCTCTACTACGCTCATCATCATCATCATCATCATCACTACCACTCTCCTTTCACTTTATGAAATCATTTTTATTTTATTTTTACTTTTTCAAGAAACTAAAATCACCAACTGACGTGTCATCAAGTCGTTTTGGGGCTTTTTTCTTAACTTTTTTTCCTTTTTATATCCTTCTATTTATCTCATTTCTTCCCAATCTCCATCGAGCTTCTCGTACCAAGCTTCTTTCTCTTTCTCTGTCTTCATCTCTCTCTCCCTCTCTCTTTACATCTTTTGCTCTCTTTTTTCTCTCCTTTTTTGTTCTTCTTGAACAATTCGCTATCTGCTATTCTTTCCTCATTTCTGGCGTCATTTTGGTTGAAATTGTTTATAAGATTTTCAAGAAGGAAAAAAAAGTTTTCTTTCCCCCCCCCCCCCTGCTCCACTCAAACTCTCATGTGCTGAACATTTGCGCTTGACACTTAAATCTTCCAGCTTCTTTATGAAACAAATGACATTCATAGATTTCACTCGTCGTGTTTTCATTTTGAACTTTCTTCTGGCAAAGAATATGCTTTCCATTTTTAGCCATCAAGAAGATAGAGAGAGAGAGAGATGTCTAGAGAGATATAGAGAGAGAAGAAAAAAAAAGAAAGTTTTTCAAGTGTTTAAATTTCATCCTTTCGTCTGAATATTCAATCAGCTTTCCCGTTTTCCTTAAAATATTCAAAAAGTTTTAATAAAAACTTTCTTTTCCAACACAAAAGGAGACGAAGAAGTGAGATAGAGAGAGAGAGAGAGAGATTGTGCTTGCGTGTTCCATCTCCCTTCTCTCTCTCTCTCTCATCGTTCACCTCCCTCTTATTCCAATTGTTTAACTGAAATTATCTCTTATTTTGCCCTTTTTTGTAGTGTTGTGTGTGCGGTCATGTTCAAGTTCAGCCGGCAATCAAAGTCCGTCATTTTGCCTTCACATGATTCTTCATTCACCCATTTACTTCATTTGGGGGAGGATCAATTTCATCTAAATGTGCTATCAACCGGAAAATTTAAATTATTTCAATGTGAAACTGGGCAATTTATATGACCGATAACTATGTGTATTCTGTAAATGACAATAACCATTTGAAAATCCAAATGTTCCAAAAATTTTTTCACTTTTTTTTCAAATTTTCACTCAACGTCTGTTCTATAAATGTTTTGAAACAATTCGTTCAAAGTTCGAAAAGGATGAAATAGATAGAGAGAGAGAGAGGGAGGGAGAGGGAGAGGGAGAGAGGTGTGAGAGAGCGATGAAGGAAAGTAAAGAAGTTAAATTAATCTTTTAAAATAAGAAAATAGATAAGAGAGAGGGAGAAGACTAGAGAGAGAGAGAGAGGGAGAGTGAGAGGAGCAATCTCATCTGACGAAGGCTCTTAATGATGGCTCTTCGCGTGATTAGCATAACTATTATTATTTTTGTTTTCATTTTTAAATATCATTCTCAAGTCTACAATTTGATTCAAATTATTGTTTAAGATGAATATGTCGTCAGAGTGATATATGTTATCAAATGATGATTATATCATTAGCATATTGATTTGCAAGCTTCATCCGGTTCATTCTGCTCATACGTCTCATGTATGGAATCGGTTGAATTTGAATGGCGAAAAACGAACTTCGTCTTCATCTTTTTGTCTTTTTTTTAATCAAAAATGAAATTTGTCCATGCCATATCAATCATACGCATGAATGCAAATATGAAATTATCAAGAAGATCATTCATCTCAACTCTTCATCTTCTTCAAACCTTTGCCTACTCCATCCTCTTCCTTCCATCATCCTTTGCGTTCAAAGACGACTTTCCCTCTACTCTTCCTTTCATATACTTAAGTGATGTCAGTTTTGTCGTTTTTAAGCTTTGATTCAGAAGTTTCAAATCAAACACTTCTTGCCCACCCGCAGATTTTTGTTTCCGAAATTTCCAAATTCAAAGAGAGACAGAGAGAGAGAGAATTCTCTGCTTCTTCTTTTTCCTTCTTCTTCGTCTTCTTCTTCTTCTCCATTTTGCTTTTTCTTACTTTGGCAGTGTTTCAGAAGAAGAAAACGATGAAAGCTCTATTGGCTTTCGTTATAAGTGCTGTTGTCTTTCATTATGGAGAAAGTGCCATTTTCGGAGAATGGGATGATGTAAATCGAGATGATTTTGAGCCAGATAAAGGCTTCCTATGTGCTGACAAATACGTTTCACCAAGTTTAAAAGTATGTTTCAAAGAGGAACTTAGCTTCATTAAGATGAAAGCTCTCCATTCTCTCTCATTCACTCTCTCTCTATCTCTCTTTTCAGTGGTTTGTTGATTATTACCGAGAGAAAGTGTATCCGTTCTGGTATTTGGGATGTGGAAACACGGAGAACATTTATGATTCCATTCCAGAAGCTGAGAAGTCTTTGCCAAGTAGGCTTTCATTCACAAAAATTATTTAAATTTAAATTCTGCTCAGGTGACTCAGCACAATGCGATGGATTCAATATGACCGGTTGGCCAACATATGGTCCATCTTCAGATGAATCTGACTACAAATGTCCAGACGGCAGTAGCTACTTACCTTACGGAGAGTTCTCTGCAATCTGTTGTGATGACGCAACAGCAGGTAAAGCTTGAACAACAAGATATTCTCAGTTATATGACATTATAGAACGATATCGTCAGAGTAAACACGTAAAATGTCCGAATAACGAAGATTTGATGACAATCGAGATAGTACACATGGACAAAGAGTTTGAGGATGTTGTTTCATTCCGAGAGAATCGAACGTTATTCGGAAAATCCTGTGAGCACAACTTTTGTCCTCAAAACTTCCGTTGCTTGCAAGGAGAGTTTGAAGCTTATTGTTGTCCAGATGACCCAGCGTCTGCATTTACAAACAGTTTATCAGATAGTAATGCAAAGAAAGCCATAAGCAGAACGTCAGGCGATGGCATTGTCAACTGGCTCAAACGACAGCTCATCGAGAGCTCTCTCATCATTCGTTTCATTTTTGTAACGCTAGCCATATTTGTATTTGTCATATCTTTATTAATTTGTATTGTATGTCGAACAAATCGTTCACGTCGTCCACTTCTGCATCAGAAGTATGGAGATGCGAAAGAAACGATGACTCTGAATCCATAGAAGAATTTGTACTTGTGTCCACTCTTTGTATGTCTCATCATATCTCGGAGATAAAGAGATTTCCTTCTTTCTCTCTCTCTATCTCTCACTCTGTCTCTCTCTCTCTCTCAAATCGTCATTTTACTTAATTTCCAAGAGAAAGTAACATTTAATGAAATAATTGATGATCTCTCCATTGTACATTTTTATTTTAATTCAATAAATACTTGGTTCTCATCAACATTGTGTCCTCCTCTTCTACACCCTCAACAACAACATCCGTTCCTCTCTTATCTTCCAATGTCAACCTTACTGGCTTATAGAAGCTTACGACGCATAGCTTCCTGTCTGACTGCCTTCATCCATACCGCTACAACACAAACTACTCAGATTTTATTTCGTAAAAGTTCATTCAGAACAAGTTCGCCTGAAAACAATATGAGACACAGGTGAGAAACATTTCAAAACGCAGCTTTACACGTTTTCATGCTTTTAACACATTTCTCTTGATACCAACCTCTTTGTGAAATGTGAGATGATGTAAACTCAACGTGTTGCCAGTTGCTTAGTCTATGAAGTAAAAAAAAAATTATTTTTTTCATTTTCAATATTTTGAATTGTGCCTACTACTACTGCTGCTGCTACTGCTACTGCTACCTACTGCTGCTCGCAAAACCCGTTTCTTATTCATTTCGTTGTATCTTCTCATTCATAGTTCTCCTCTGAAATATGCACAGTAGAGACAAGCAGGAACATGTGTGTGTGTGTGTGTGTGGATGTGTGTTGTACGTGAAGAAATTCACGCGAATAAGGAGAGGAAAAAGAACTTTTTTTATATTTTCCTCTCTCTTTCTCTCTGTTTCCATTCGTCTCTCCAAAAGGGAGATGTCAAGATCGCTGTGGTCGTTGGAACAACAAAGGGTTAAGTTCCTTCCTTTCAGGCTTCATGATGATGTATAAACGTCTTTCTCCACCGAAATTATTCAAAAAAACTATTTAAAATAAGATTTTTTTTATTTTTTTGTACTTTGACGCTCATTTCAACATAAAGGTTCAAACGTAGCTTAGAAATCAGAGTTGTATGTATGTATGTATGTGTCTGATGAATGTGAGATGTGAGTGTGTATGGTTGAAAGGTGGGGGGGTAAACGTGTAAGGTGTGTGTGTGTGTGAGTGGTTGGTTGGGAGTGAAAGAAAACATTTTTTTTCATCAAATTTGGAAAAAGTCTTAAATGCATAATAACACATCAATCAACGTCTTAATCAAACACTGAATATTCTCAGTTAAAATGCATGAAAAATATTTCTTTTTGTTTGAAGCTCTCTCCTTCACTTGATACCATTTCTCTCTCTCATTCACAATCTCATTTCATTCAAAAACTATAAAAGAGATTTTGTGTTTGAGCTCCGATCATTTGTAAGGTTTGTGAAAATAATTAAAAAAAGAATAACTTTATTGGAAAAAATATATACAAAACATCTTTCATCTCTCTCTCTCTCCTTCTCCACCTTCTTCTCTTTCTCTCTCTTCCTTTCTTATGCGACTAACACCTTCTCTTACTTTCAACTGTAACCTTCTCTATCTCTCTCTTTCTCTCTCTCTCTCTCTCTTATTTCTCATAGGAATTGTTAAGGTATGAAAAAAGCATTCTCAAATATTTCTTTTTTTTTCTTTGCCTCTTTTCTAGCAATATTACTAAAAATTTGTTTTGGTCACTAAATCGGTTAACCAGCTTTCGGCTTCTTCTCACCTTCACCTGCCAAACCATCTCAGTCTCTTCCTTCAACATCACACCTCCTCAATGTTCCATCTTAGACTGTATTCCTCTGTACATAACTGATATTATGTTTCAGGCAACTGCAGATTGGATGTGAAAATGGGACGTGATGTCCATAATGACTGATTGTTTGAGCTCCTCATCTGAAGAGCCATCTTCTTCTACATCTACTTGTGACGAAGTTGTGCCCCCATCAGACGGTGTCAGTTAGGTATCGTTTTGAACATTATTTTAAACAAGGAAATTTCTCAAAAATGAACTTCCATACAAGGAATATTTGAGTTTCTTGTACTAGACAGGAGTGAAAGCTCAAAAGTGTTCAGTTGAGAATTAAAGTAAAATTTTGTTCGTAAATGTTTTGTTAAAAGAGCATTTCAATGTATTTCCGATTGGCCATTTGAGGACATAGTTCGATTCATAATTTTCTTTTCTTTGCATTTTAATTGATTTTCATAAATGAGTAGAAAAGGAGAGAGAGAGAGAGAGATAGAGATGTAAAGAGGGAATGAACAGAGTTGGAAAGTCAGAGAGAGAGAGAGAGAGAATGAGAGAGAGAGAGAGAATAAATAAAAAAAGAAGCAAAAGTTTTATTTAATAGAAATATTTTATATACAAATTGCACCCAAGTGCCGATGCAATGGCCCTTTTCCAGCAATTTGGTCAATTGTTTTTCCACTTGCTTCTACCTGCTTGTTCTCGTTGCTTATGAGCATCATGTACATATAGATGTACATAGATAGAAAGAGAGTTTAGGTCGATAGGAATAGGAGAGGGATTAGAAGAACCACAAAGAGAATGGGTGCTGGATGGAGGTCGAGACACCGAAAGAACATCAAAAAGTAAGGAAATATGGCGAATTACAAATATATTTTGATCTAAGCAACTCCAAGCTATTTATAGTAAACATTGGAGAGGTTTGTGAATTCAAGATGAGACAGTTAGAGAGAGAGAGAGTGAAAGGTGATTAGAAGAGGAAAGAGAGAAAGGGAAATGAAACGATTAGCTTTGAAGAGGTATCAAGAAGATGAGCAAAATCAATTTTCATTTGGTTTGTTCCACTTTGAACCTTCCGCCTAAGTTGGAACTCCGTTTGAATAGCTTAACCTTGCAGTACCGTTCTGTACATGTGTTTCTGACAAACTTTTCAAAATTAATTTAAAATTTTCATCTTTTAAAACGGTGAAAATGTTTTTGAAGCGAAATAGAATTGCTCCACAGCCATTTGCTGTTTTATGGTTCATTTGCATACGTGAATAGTACGTGAGGTTAGCGTCGGATTTCACGGCCAAGTCATTCTTAAGCATTTCCACCCACACAGAACGGTTGCATTTTAATTTTCTTTTATTTTTTCTCATATTTTCTATTTCGTTCCATCTCTCTCATATACAGACAGAGACAGAGTATGTCCCATCTTCAACGTTACTTTCGTTTTGCATCATTTCATCCTTAGTGAGGAGGAAACTCTTTCCATCTCTTTGGTTTACAAAAATAATTTGTTTTCAAAGATAAATATTTTGTAATGAAAAACATCGGTTAGTCACACATGACTTCCATTTTTGTGACGAATTTCCTCTTCGCAGCTATTCCAAAACTTCCCTGATGCTCTGCCAAGCGATTGGTTCATCGTCGTCGTCGTCGTTGTCGTCGTCGTCGTCGTCGTCCACGTTTTTTTCAGTTCACCCCCCTCCATTCATACTTTCGTTGTTAAAAAAAGTGAAAAAAAAGAGAAAAACATGAAAGAAGAATGAATTTGTAAACTTAACAGAGAAAACAATGAAAGAATCAAAGTAGACATGAGCATCTCAATGCTTTTCCATTAAAATAATCCTTTGGAAGCGGAAAAGCTGAAAAAAATGAAAAATTTTTTTTGTTCATCATCTTCTTGTGGTGCGCTTGGCTGCTTCGTAAGCAGTCTCTGTGTGCGTCTGCTTCTTTACCCTCGGAATCAGATAAAAGCTTCAGATCTATCAAAAATGGTGTTTTTTTCTGCACTTGAAGCAGAGACTTAAAGGTTCACTTCGAGTTATTGGCTTAAGACTGATATTCTATGAAACCTTCTTTATGGTTCTTGCTCCTTAAGACAGCCACATCAGGCAGGAAACTTCTTTTTTTTTCTATTTTTTCATCTCATCATACTCTCTCTGCATGCTTTCTATCAGGAATATGTATATTCATCATTTTTTCACTGAAAAATGCAAAATGAAGAAAAGATCGACGACGTCACATCGAAAGGAGAGAAAAAAAAGAATCCATTTGTGGATCATTCGTCTTATTGTGGACCTGTCGATCAACTCAAATATTCATTTGGTTGTCCTTATTCCAAAATGAAACATTAGGCCTTTTGATAGATCAAGCTCATACTTTATAAGAATTCTCATTTAAGCTTTATAAGGTCCTTGTATAGAACAAGAGAGAAAAGAGAGTGAGAAGCTTGGTTCTCCTTCACCCGTTTCAAAAGCTTCACCTACCTCCAACAGCTGTGGTCGGCATAGCTCTGAAACACACAATGTTCTCCCTCATTTTTTCTCTCTCTCTCACTGTCTCTCTTTCTCTTTACAAGCTTTCCTTCCCTCCCACTTCACAATTTTTTTAGAATAAGCTTCGCAAAGGAAATTCCAAATATTAAAAAATATACTTTTTCGTGTCTTCGTCAGCTTCATCAGCTTCTTCCTAATGAATAGACCACATCTTGTGGAAATCAAAAACATCATCTTTAAAGAACGCATTTGGAAACCATTGCTTGTTTCTTATGTTGTCATTTGATATTCTATCTGAAACTGCCAGCTTTGCAGAAACTTTTTTTTCTGTTTCATACTACACCTCATTCACTCTCCCCGCCCCCAACCTCAGGGATTTATTAGGAATCTGTATGATATCTGAAAGTCACGACATCTGCTCTTTGTTTTCCTTTCACACCAACCTTGATTTCTATTTTATTTTGAACAGATCGAATTAAGAATCAAGCTAAACGAAGGATTATCAGCTTTCCAGCTCTCTCTATGTCTTTCTCTCTCTCTCTCTCTCTCTCTCTCTCTCTCTCTATCGAAAGCTGATGTAACAGAGAGAAAGTAGAGAACGAAGATGGACCCCTTCTTCTACAATCTCTTTTTTTTATTTTTTTGGTCAATAGTCTTTGTTATGCGATCCATACACTTCCTTTATTCCTCTGACCCTCTCTGTCTCTCTCTTACTCTCTCTCTTACTCTCTCTGTATTCAGAATTATACAATTCGTTTAAAGAGTT